ACAATAAACCCTAAATTTACATTCCTCTCCACAACACACAACTGCTATTCTGTTTGCATCAGACCTTGCCATCTTGACATCAAACTGAGTCCTTAGTGAGTATCTAAGTAGCTGGTCTTTGAATTCTAATCCCGAGTTGAATTTCTGAAACAACCAAATATAAGGTTCCTTCTCCAAGTTTCCATGAAAGTTAGACTTTCTTTTCCCATCCCTTTTCTATGTTGCCTTATCCAACTGCTCCCATTCTTCATCAGATTGAAGTGGTGTATCTGGATAGTTACCCTCCTCTTCTATTACACACTCTTCCTCGCTTTCCTCTGCTTCCTGTTTTTCTTCTTCTTTTTCCTCAAGATTCTGATATGCTCTTTTATCTATTTTCGCCACTGAGCCTTCTTCAAAAACTGCCTTAAATCTACCATCATCACCACCGTCTCCAACATCTTGTACAACATCGTCTCCGTTGTCATCATTCCCACCTGCCACAGGTTCATTTTCTTCTTCTGTCACATCCTCATTTTCTTCTTCAGCCACAGGATCATTCATTTCATCTTCAGACTGATCAGGTTCTCCATCTTCTATTGGTCTCTCGACTTCTTCTTCACTGGAAAGATCTTTATCTTCACCTTCCTGAACATCTTCACGCTGGCTCTTTGGTGTTACCAGATATATGGGTGGCTCACTATGATCTGAAATATCATGTTCAACGAAGACTTCAACCTCACCTTTTTCTTTCCCGACACAGACCAACAAGAACATATTTTCGGTATATCCTTCACAAACATAGTTCAGTGTCTTCATCTCTTTCTCTACCTCTTTATACCATATAATTCTTATCGCTGCATTTATCAACGCCTCTTCCCTACTGAACTTCAAAAACTTCTGCCATGAAATGTCATACAATTCCCATGTCACTGTCTTGACTCCCAATTCACCCTCATACTTATAAGTTTCTCCATGTTTCTCCATTACTCCACCGAAGTGGATTCTCAACGTTACTGCCGTTCCTTCACTCTGTATACAATCAAATTCGAATTAGAACACCAAACGAATCTCATAAATCGACAAACCCAGAACAAGTGTGTGATTCATATGCTTACCTCATCTTCTTTCAAGCATCCGAGGGCCTCTTTGTTTTTTCTTTCTTCTTTTTCGAAATCTCAGCTTTCTCAGTTTGTCTCTCACACATGTAAAAAACCTAGATCCCCAATTCAATTTTGTTTTTCGTTAAAGGAGATAAGGATTTAAAATTAGACTATATCACGTGTTGTTAAAAGAGAAAGTTAATAATATTAAGCACGTTTTTAAAAAGTGAACGGATCTTTTACGGTGTTAACTGTTCCGTTTATTCTTGTTACAGCGCGACGAGATCTATTACGATGTTAAATGTGTTAAAGAAATCATGTTGACGGTCTAAAGTGCTAGTGCTATAGTCTCAAGGTTTAAAGTGCAAACTTTTGCCACCTTGATTGTTATGCGATTTTCCCTAATTTCATTAGTTGAAAATATTTATTCACAGTCGCTCCTTTTTGTCTTTTAGTTTTTTTTTCCTCTTTTAGTTATTAATTGCATTCTTCGATATATATCGTAAAAATCAAACAAACACAAGACATTTTAAGATTTCTTATCTAATCACAAATGAATATTATTGAAATTTTATATTTTGTGAGCTTTGTCATGATTCATTATTTATATTGGTTCATGTATAATTAAAACATCATAACTTAACGTACTTATGTATCAGCATTGTTAAGTTTGTGGGAAATTTTCGATAGGAATAGACAAAAGGTAACAAATGAGTTGCAAATCTAAGACTACTTTGAGACTAAATTTCTCACTGAAAATAAAGTCTTAAATTAGTCATATTATGATATTATTTTGTGACTGGTTATGTAAGGTCGTCCATGCGTCTCAATTTTGTCGCTTATTTGTGATTTGGTCACTAAGTATTGTAGTAATAAATTTGTGACTAATTTGCCTTTGGTTTTGATGTTGCCATAGAAGAACATCATTTTTAAGACAAATGTCTTTGAATTTTCCTTGTAGATACATCATTCTTTGAATTTTCCATGTTGATACTTATATGATGTACATAATGAAAGCAAACACAGCAAGTGAACCTGTTGGGGGGGGGGGGGGAACCATACAAAATAAATGTTGTACAGTATTATTATGATCTTCATTGTTTATTTGGAATTCGCTACGCCACATGAAACGAAGTAATAACATGGTTCTAATGCATATTCCTCATAATTTGCCCATCGTTATATGAATATAATTATTTTTCTTATCACCATTGTTGTAAAATGTCTGAATAAATTCTTATAGATTTTCTAATAACCATATAATGAAAAGCCAAGCAGGCGAGAAAATAGAATAAATTTATAAAACCACAATTAAAAGAGAAACTCAATATTGACCCTAAAAACAAAAATAAAATGTAAACCATTATAAAACTATTAATTTCTTATAGTGAGAACTCAAAAAGGTAAGATGAGGAATTGGATTATAACATAGTTTCAATGTCATAACTTATTTTATTTTTCAATGCAGCAGAAATATATGTGTATATATACTCAAATAAAATAATATATAAATTTTTATTTACTTAAATTTTATATAAAAATATCTAGGCGTAGTTCGGGAAAGGTTCTAGTATACATTAATAGGAAAATAAACTAAAAATGCCCTTTTAAACGTGTCATAATCAATGGTTTGGGTAATAGACAACATGTTCAAATTATCATAAATTTTCAAATTTAAAATCAATTGATGATATTAATTAGTTTTTTCAAATTTACAACAAAGTAATAAGATGGTTCTAATGCATATTCCTCATAATTCACCCCATCCATCGTTATATGAATATAATTATTTTTCTTATCACCATTGTCTTAAGATGTCTGAATAAATCCTTATAGATTTTCTAATAACCATATAATAAAAAGCCAAGCAGGCGAGAAAAGAGAATAAATTTAAAAAACCACAATTAAAAGAAAAGGTTCTAGTATACATTAATAGGAAAACAAACTAAAATGCCCTTTCAAACGTGTCCTAATCAACGGTTTGGGTAATAGACAACATGTTCAAATTATCATAAATTTTTAATTTAAATTCAATTGATGATATTAATTAGTTTTTTTCAAATTTACAACATATAAAAGTTGTCCAAATCGTGTTTATATAATGTATGTTTCTTATGCTGGTTATAAAAATGTATAAATTACTTTTATTAGTTTGAGTAAAAATGATAATAGAGAAAAAATAAAAATTGTGAAGATCGACAATGATGATGCTTGATGCACCCTTTCGCTATAATATATATGAAGAGTTGTATTGACTGAGCTTTATACGATGTCTAATTAGATCATCAACTAGATAGTGGAACTTGGCACTTGTATATGTGGAGTTCGCTAAGACAAAGAAAAATATACAAGATACGTTGCTCAAGTTTGAGCTTGACGACGGATGTGGAGTTTGAAGAACGTAACATACGTTTGATGTGAGGTGTAGGTGACACAAGATGTTATGGATACGAAGTCACGTTTGTTTGTTACAAAGTGCTAATGAGGCTTTGGAGTCTAATGATTAGAAAAGAGACACGTGAGCCTTTTTAAGTTGTAAGGCTAACTAATGTGAAGAGATTAGTGGGTTTGAAGAACTTAGAGCTTATTCGGTTGGAGCATAAAGACAACAAGACCTTGAAAAGAAACAGCTACGCACTTAGGGTTTATTGAAAATGTATATAGATATATCTGATGTCGTTCTACCAGACAGTTAAAAGACTTGTTGATAGTTTTGTAATAGAAAACTATACTTGTCAGAGACATTATGTAGTAATTGTTATTTATTGTAAATCTAATTAAGAGATCAAGTGGTGGTATGCCATATAGCAATTATAGGTTGTGGTTAGGGATGGGCATTTTATCCGTATCCGAGGACACGATCCGAAACCAACCCCAAAAATCTCATTTGGGCAGGAACCGAACCGATATACCTTATTGGGTCTTGTTGTAGTGGACGCACGGGTCTTGGACGCAACCCGACCCGAACCAAAGACCCGACGAAATATCCAAAATACCCAAAATTTATAGTATATATTAAGTATATATGGGTGTTTTAGTATATTTTTAATATTATAGGTATTTTTTCTAAGTTTCAGATTTGAGTTTTTGGGTATGGTTTTAGATTTTAGGTAAAATTTTAGATTTTCAAATATAATTCGGATAATTAGATAAAAGTTTGGTTATTTTAAAGTCTTCAGATCAGATTTTGGATAAAATTACGGATAGTTTTAGATATTTAAATATTTTCAACTATTTTTGTTTTTGTGTTTTGGATATTTTTTGGGTTAGACCCGATCGAACCGAACCCGATCCAGAACCGTACCGAATCTAACTAAAAAATTATAATTATTTTATTGGATCTAACTATTTCAGATCCGAATCGACCCGGATCTGATAGGACCCGAGCCAAACCAGAACCGAAAAATTCTAATTACCCTATTGGATCTAAATATCTTAGACCCAAAAAACTCGGATCTGACAAGACCTAGCCCGAACCTGACCTGAAGACCCGAATGTCCAGACCTGATTGCAATCTTTTCTATTGAACAAGTTTTAGACGTGATCCCCAAAGATGTAAGAAACAAAACTAGTTAAATATGTCTTTCTTTACTTTACGCACATACAAACTCGCACTCAAACATACTCGTACTAGAAAGTTGAGATCTAGCCATGATTCTGTTTTTACATATATATATATATAACAAATTTAGATAAGGAAATAGATTTATATAGCTATACTTCTTCTCTTCATGGCAGCTATTCATCTCTAAAAAATAATATATATGGAGGGTTCTTCCGAATTAAACGGTTGTGATTTTGTATGAACTTAATATAGAACACACAACTATCCATAAATTCAAGATAGCCACCATCCTCTCCAATCTTTTGTTTCTTCCTCGTTCTTGAAGTTTAATTTTCTCTTCTTGATTTCTTGAAATGCCTTCAAGCAAAGACCCCAACAGCCAGAAATTTACAAAACTAAAGAAATTAGACACTGATTCAGATCCTGACCTTTACGACATAACATACGTTGATGTATCTCCCTCCGACGCCTGCTCTTCTCCTTTGTCCAAATCACCATGGTCCGTACAAGTCGACCCCAACCTCATAGAACCGCTCCCACATTCTTCGGCATCAAAATCCACGGCCTCGCCGCATGCCAAAGAACCTAAGAACTACTCTCCCAACATTCTCATGGGATCTCTGGTCCGTGAAGAAGGCCACATCTATTCATTAGCCACCTCTGGTGATCTACTCTACACGGGATCGGACTCCAAGAACATTAGGGTTTGGAAGAACCACATCGAGTTCTCAACGTTTAAATCTAACAGCGGATTGGTTAAAGCCATTGTTCTCGCAGCGGACAAGATATTCACGGGACATCAAGACGGGAAGATCCGTGTCTGGAAAGTCTCGTCTAAAGACTCGAGCGTGTTCCGTCGCGTTGGTACGATGCCGCTTCTCCGAGACTACATCAGAAACTCCATCGCCTCTTCCTCCTACTTCGGTTTCGCGAGACGGAACCGAACCAGCACGAGCGCGCAAGGTTTCCGACACGTTGACGCGATCTCGTGTCTTGCCTTGAGCGAAGACAGGACGCTTTTGTATTCCGGGTCGTGGGATAAAACGTTTAAAGTGTGGAGAGTCTCTGACTTGAGATGTTTGGAGTCTGTGAACGCTCACGACGACGCGGTGAACGCGGTTGTTGCGGGTTTCGACGGTTTGGTTTTCTCCGGTTCAGCGGATGGTTCGGTTAAGGTGTGGAGGAGAGAGGAACAAGCCAAGGAGACGAAACATTTCTTCTCCGAGACGTTGTTGAAACAAGACTGCGCCGTTACGGCGATAGCGGTTGATCAAAGCGGGACGTTAGTTTACTGCGGCTCATCTGACGGTACCGTTAACTTTTGGGAACGTGATAATAATATGAAAAAGGGCGGCGTTTTGAGAGGGCATAAGCTCGCTGTGCTTTGTCTCTACGCGGCGGGGAACTTGTTGTTTAGTGGTTCTGCTGATCTTGGGATTCGCGTTTGGAGGAGACCAGAACGTCGTGGAGGAGAAGGAGAGCACGTGTGTGTTTCGGTTTTGACTGGCCATGCAGGCCCGGTGAAGTGTTTGGCGGTGGAGAGAGATCAAGAGTCGGTTTCAGGTGAGAGACGGTGGATTGTGTACAGTGGGAGTTTAGATAGGTCAGTGAAGATGTGGCGTGTGTCGGAGAATTCACCGCCGATAGAGTCTATGTCGGATTCTTCTAGTGGTCCCAAGTTAACGGTGGCTCCTAGCTTCTCGGCTCAAGGGAAAATTAGCCACAAGAAATAGTTACGTTTATTTTTTTTGTATTCAAACAAAGACAACACCAATTATGTAAATAGATTTTTGATGTACGTAGTCCCGGCGCAACCGGCTTTTAAGGATTTGATGTAGTCCCGGTTCTGTCTTTAACCGGAATTTTGTGAAATACATACTTGATAAACAACTTTCTGATATATTTTTTTCTGAAAAGGAGCTTTGGTACTTAAATCACAATGCTGAAAATAAAATTGCAGTGGGCTATATATGACTAAGATTGAACTAAAGCTTGAGAAAAAAGATTGACAACATCATATGGGGCTAGAAGACGACCTCTACCTTGAGTTAATAGTTTTGGTCTGCAAGACGACCTCTGCTTTGACATCCACATCTTCTATGACCTCTTTTTTTTGTTATTTCTTATATGAGTTCTAAGACCATCTTCAATAGTATTTTATAAATTTTTTCTATATTTCATTTCAGAATAAAATACTCTATTATAGAATTGGATTTGTTCTAATGGTTTATTTTATTATAAAGTAAACTATTTGAACAAATCTATGTATATAATAGAATTACTCTATTTTATAGTAAAATATAAAGAAAATTATAAAGTACCATTAGAGCTGAGATACCATCCATTTTAATGCATATATCTTATTTGTGAGATGGTTTCAGATGTTTTCTAGATTGTGATCGTTGGGCTATTTCATATTCTTATAGATAACATGTGCAATCATCGGTGAGAGGAAATTAGGTGAACCTTCAAAAGTGATTGTTGGAATATCACTCTAAGCTTTGGGTGGGGTGATATGAAAACATTTCATGTGGCTGTGCATGCTCTAAAATAATGGGTACATTTTCAGACAAGGCTGAATTGCTAGAAGGAAATGTTGTCACTACTACTTCATTGGTTATTTTGTTGGTGGACGAATCTCAACCAAAGATGAAAGTGAAAAGGCTAGTCTTTGGTCATCAGATACTGATGTAGACAATTTGAAGTAGCTATTAGTAGGGGATGCTTATATGGCTTACATGATACCTTAATGTGACTAATATATGATATGACCAAAATTTCAAATGAAATTTATCCTCTTTCTTCTACTTTATGCATAACTTTAAATTAAGCTAGTTTTTGTGCTAAGTTCGTCTATCCAAAATAAAATTGTCGACATTAATCAACGACGTGTTCTTGCATGTCTCACGTTCGAATTAACCAATCACGTGATGTCTCACGTTCAAATCTCAAAATTATTACCTTCTTCTAATTCTCAACTCATCAACGATGCACCACAAATCAGCTGTCAAAAGTTGCATTAGCTACCTATATTAATGCATATAACCATATATATTTCTTTTATATGGTAGGACTATGGTCATGGTCATGGTCATAGTCTCATAGACTAATTATTTCTCTTTTTAACATCATGATTTCATTAGTATTTTTTTTTAAAAGGGCAATGATTTCAATAGTTGATCAAATCATAAAGCTCAATGGAAGAAATCATGATGGAACAAAAATATCAATTTTAAAAGGGTTGACTGCATATTCCCCTCCATAGACACATAAACCCTACTTATTTCCCCCCCAAACTACTAAGCTATTTGCTAACCCACCCAAACATATATTTCTCTTCATATATCTCCCTAAACTTTTAAAATCCCCCTCTCTAACTATGTTTTCTAATCGTAATTAGTGTATCAAAAATTGCGTTTAGAAAAGAGTGATTGCCCACCCGACCCAACATTTAAAAAAAACCAACAAAAATGAACAATCCCAAATTGAATTGGACTTATGGTTTCTTTTATTTTTTACACGACACAGAAACAAGAGAGGGAGAGGGAGAGTTGTCGTGAATAGAGAGAGACGACAGGAACAGAGAAGAGAGAGACGACGACGAGAGATACATAAACAAAGAAGATGACCCAGAAAGAGAGAGAGACATAAACTAAGAAGATGACCCAGAAAGAGAGAGAGAGACATAATTAAGAGAAGAGAATGTAGAGGAGAGAGACAGTGAGGAATGAAGATGCAGAGGAGAGAGATACACTGAAGAACGATGAAGGGGCTGTTGTTTCTCCGTATGGAGAATTTTGAAGCTTGTTTAACTTAGATTTCCTATTTGTTTATGTCTGGGTTTGATTTTATTTTTATTTTATAGAGATGAAAAAGGTGGAATTGAAAATGCTTGTGCTTTTGTTGCTCAACCTTTGACGTTTTATTACGTTTCAATCTTTCAATCTTTCTTTGTTTTGTGACTCAACTTTTCTTTGTGAGATTCTATTTTCACTGAGTTGTATTTGTATGTTTTTCATCACTCTCTATCTTTAGAGCACATATATAATTAAGACAGTATGAATCATGCATCATGTGGAAGTGTAGAAAACTAGTCAAATTCCAATATTTTTCTTGAGTTCCAAACAAGTCAAATTCATGTTTTCAGCTAAAGCATAAACAACATGATAATCTCAGTTACTGAAAAGCATAAAGAACATGATAATCTCGAGACTGAAAACATAGATAAGAGTCTTACATATGTCTACAAACATAAGAGAAATTCATTACATAAGATAACCAAATAACATAGAGAACATGATAACCAGAGGTCATAGAGCGTGTCTGTTAGAGCAGTTCCAGGTCTAGTAACAAAAACTGCAGAGAAAAGTGAAAGAACAGCTCCAGTAACACAACTGGTATGCCCAATTTGCTTGACGAAACCAAAGGACATGGCTTTTAGCTGCGGTCACGCTGTATGTGAATATATACAAATATATTGAAAACTCTTTGCTTGCTCTATGAGCAAGATCAGTTTTGTGATTTCTCTGTGGCATTTATTTTCATGTGAAGACTTGTAAGGAATGTGGTGTGCTTGTCAAGCATGCCAATGTGTAGAACACCTATAACAACGAGGATAAGGCAATACACTTGACTAGTAAAACGGAGACTTCCAACAGCAAAGAAACAAGACAAGCTAAGAACTTAGAAGCTCCAACGGTCGAGTTGTTACTTGGCTGTGGCTCTGATCATCTCAGTTACTAAACCCCTTTCCAAAGAACCATATCCTATCATAGCTTTCAATCATCTCTTTACTCATATTAATTATCATAGCTTCCTTCCTCCTCCTTACAAGTCTTTCTTCTTTGTAAAAAAAAAAAAAAAATTCAAACTCAAACTCAGACATAAACAAATATGAAGTCTAAGTTAAACAATCTTCAAAATTATCCATACCTAACAACAACAGTCCCTTCATAGTTCTTCAGAGTGTCTCTCTCCTTTCTATCTTCATTCCTCATTGTCTCTCTCTCCTCTGCATTCTCTTCTCTCGATTCTCTCTCTCTCTCTTCACGTCGTCTTTCTCTCTTCTCTGTTCTCGTCATCTCACTCTTTTGTTGTTTATGGGTCATCATCTTTGTATATGTCTCTCTCTCTCTCTCTGTTCCTTCGTCTCTCTGTTTCAGTCAATTCTCTCTCTCTGTTTCAGTGAACTCTCTCTCTCTCTCTGTGTGAAAAAAATAAAAGGAATCCTAAACCCAAATTCAATTTGGGATTGATAATGTTTGTTGGTTTTTTTAAACCTCGGGTTGGGTGGGCTATTGTAATTTTCTAAACGCAATTTTTGATTTATTAATCACGATTAGAAAACATAATTAGAGAGGGGGGGTTAAAAAGTTTGGAGAGATATATGAAGAGAAAATATATGTTTGGGTGGGTTAGCAAAGAGATTAATAATTTAGGGGGGAATAAGTAGGGTTTATGTGTCTATAGGGGGGAATATACAGCCAACCCATTTTAAAATTATGTAGAACATAAACATTTCTTGGAAACTTTAACTAACTATAGATATATATATATAAATTGTTGATCTCTTTCTATGTATACATACAACTTCCCAAAAAAAATGAAAACCAAGACCAATATTTCCCTAAATTGTGCTGAGAACATACCCTCTTTCAAACTCATAATGTACAATATAAGACAAAACCTTCATGATAAATTATGAAATTATGATAAACTAAATTAATTTTGCGCTTTGAAGCAAAAAGAAAATTAATTAACTTTGAAAATTTATAATAGACTGCATTAAATAGTGTTTCCTAAAAAAAGTAAACATAGACATGAAAATCTCAGTTGAAGAAAATTATTTATGCGCATATACAGATTTTTTTGATGAGTAGGTGTACATATTTTTCATAAAAATTAAGGGAAATATGGTTCTATGTACGCAAAAAACCCCAAAATTCATGGACAAAATTTGGGTTCATCCCATGAGATGAATTGTAGAATTCACCCCACTCTTTTACACTAATTAAACAGCCACATAGGATTAATTAAAAAAAAGGCTAAAATTAAAAAAAACTAGATTTTGACCCGCGCTTGAAAGCGCGGAAATTTGTTATGATTAAAAATTTATATAATTGGGTTTTGTCTTAATTTAAAGAATATTTTGATATAAAATCAGTTCACCAAAATTTGTGGTGATGATTATTTTTCATTAGTTTTTAGTTTCAGTTTTTATTTTTAGATTTTGGTTTTTGGTTTTTAGTTTTTAAGTTTCTACTTTTCATTTTCAGTTTTTGGTTTGGGTTTTTAATTTTTAAACCTGCTAAGTTAGTTTGAACTAATATTACCAACAAACAAATCTCAAATAATCGAACATCTAATTCAAAACTGAAAAGATGACAACAAATTAAAAAAAAAAATTGAAATAGTTTATTTTGTAAAAAAACAAAGCAAAAAAATATAACATGTGTTTTCAGCTTTTGGTTTTGGATTTAAGTTTTTAGATTTGGTTTTTGGTTTTGCTTTACATTTTTTTAATCAGTAAATTATTTAAGAAAAATAAAACAATAAATTATTTAAAAGTTACCATTGAATTTTATCAAAAAAAAGTGATTGTTATTTATAATAAAAAAATATATTAACATGTTTTAAAGTACATGATTTAAATAAATGATTAATAATAGATAATTTTGTTTTGTTAAAAATATTAAATACCTTTTGGGTCTGAAAATAATAATAATTGATTTTT